CTTTTCTTTTCATCCCACCTGCATTTATTTTCTTTCCATCTTTTGTGTGTGTGTGTGTGTGTGTGTGTGTGTGTGTGTGTGTGTGTGTGTGTGTGTGTGTGTGTGTGTGTGTGTGGTGTGTGTGTGTGTGTGTGTGTTAGGTTATGAGGCTGCTTTTTCCTCATGCACTACTTCTAATGCACTGTTATACAACCATACCGATGCATTTTCTCAACTGAATGCCTTGTAATGTGCATTTTAATTTCTGATACTTGTCACAGGTGATCCAGTTTTAAAATGTGCACATTGCTTTGTGCACAATATCTTTTTTTCTAAAGTGCCCCATAAAGCCTCAACAATTTATGAAATTTGAACATAATATATGTTTCTTTTTGAACCTAATCTCCAGAACTGTGGAGATGCTACATTTGTTAAGGCCAGAGAATAAAACAAATGCATTTCTGCTTCCAGGCTGGAAACTGTGCCCTCCATCATCTCACATGCCACTCCAGTTTTCTCCACTTCTGTGCCACATGCTCCTCTAAAGGGGGAGGGGGGAGAAATGGTGAACTGCAGCAATGCAATCTCTAACTATGGGACAGTTCAGTTGCTATGCTGTCAGCTGAACCAGTGGCGACAGACTGGGAGGAGGAAAAAGGAAAAAGAAAGCAGATGATGCTATTCTAGTGCAGTGCTGTCAATTAATAAGAACCAATTAAAGAACCTAGTATCTTTGGTGCTAGAGTTTAATGGGATTGGGTTCAAGCTCTATCAAATATTTTCCTCTCTCTCTCTCTATCCCCACCGCCCCCACCCCAAAGCAAAAGAGAATTAATCAGATGGAACAACTTTTGTCAGCTGGATGGTCACACAGTGGAAAAGAAAGCCTGAGCGGAAGATGGCCAGGAGGGATCAAGCGCACAAGGTCATTCCATTGGAGGCACAGTGAAGACCGTCCCAAATCCTGGCAGCCTGATTGTCCATTGCAAGCTGAGCTACGTTCACAAGTTCAGCCAGACCCGTCGGCACCCTCACAGCCCACCGTGGAACAGCTTGGAAATCAAAAGACCATCCCTTCGTCCCTCGGGTTCTGTTTTGAGCAGAGTCAGGAGAATGGTTCAACTGAGCTGGAGTAAAGTGATACTGTACTAATTTCCAGTATCCAAAACAGCATCTTAAAAGGAAGGGAAATGGAATGTAAATATTGAAATATGAATCAATTGCATGTAATGATGAAATGACCATAGAACACAAGCCTTTCTCACAAAATGTTTTACACAGGGTTAAGCTTCACTCAGAACTGCCACTGTATTGGATCTCTGAACCTTTAGTGACCTTTTGTCTCAACTGTTTACAGTTCAAAGGAACTGTGTATTATTCAACACTTCAGCTTACACAACTCAACAGCAGGCTGTTCTAGCAAAAGTACTCCTTAGTGCACCTTCTTCTGCCTGAGCTGATCATGTTGAATTTCACACAACACAGCACAGAACCCAACCAACCAATACAAATAAAAGAAAGAAAAACCTTTAAATCAAAAACCTGTCACCTGCTTAGAAAACAGCTTGGTTCTTATACTCTATTTTCTCAGATTTAATATTTAAAAAGGGAACCTGGTTCAGTAATAAAACAAGAGGGTTGGGGGAAAGATACTTCAAGCCTTTTTTCTAAACACCACTTCATTTCCAGATTTATAAACAAACTTGACAAGACACATTGCCTCATTGTGTCCATTCTAAGCTAAGCAACATTGTTGCTAAAATGCAAGAAGAATACATCCAACAGGATGTATTCAGGGAAGAACCTTAGAATAGAAGGCGGCTAATTCCTGCCACTAGGAAGAAAGATGCCAGTCATTGGAGAAATGGCCAGAGAGGATCATGGCCCACCTGGACAAAAGGAGGCATGGCCAACGGGCAGCAGCCAAGCTGAGGGCAAGCCTTCCGCGAGGTGCTCAACACACCCACTTTTTCTTGAATTCATTTCCATACCAAGGAGAATTCTAGTCCTGATCACATAAAGCCTGAAGTCCCTCTAGAAGGAAAAATGACTAAGCTAGGCTGTTCTACTTTGGGCACATCATGAGAAGACAAGACAAACTGGAAAAAAGACAACAACGCTAAGAAAAGTTCAAAGCAAGAGAAAAAGAGGAAGGCCAAATATGAGATGGACGGGCTCCCTAAAGGAAGCCACAGCTGCACCTTGGGTTGCAAGAGCTGAACAGGAACTGTTGAGGAAGAGGGCCTTTCGGGGGGAGATCTCTCATTCGTGAGGGGCCCCACAGGTGGGGTGGTGGGAACCGCAGAAGACAAAAACATAACAAGCTGCCTCCCTGTCACCTGAAAGGCAACCAGCCATCCCTACGATTGGCTGCAACAAGCTCTCCCTGGAGCCAGCAGACCCCCTACTTCAAGGCTGGAGGTACAGAAGACTCACTTTCCACCATCCAAAAGCCGGGACATCCCATTTATTTAGGCAGGCAGGTGCGCCTCTTCTCACAAAAGCGCTTCCAAACCTTACAAACCTCAATGTATTCGTGAAGGCTTACAAACCTCCCTTGCTCAGATCTCTGACTAGGGGCCATCCTGGAGGCCACTTCTATCAGCTGGAATCCATCAGCGTAGGAGTGACCCAAAGTCTGAGGACCATTCGCCCAAGCCTTGGCAAAGGAGATCCCTTCCCCTTTCAATTCCTAAGGAACGCATGGCCCACGAGAGGGGGAATGGCTCCTTCCAGCAGCTCAGGCCTGCCAGGCAGGCTTGGCGTGCACACCGTTCAAGAGGCAGCCGAGAAAGAGCACTCTTTGAGGAGCTGGCCTGGCTATCATCAGGCAGAGCAGTGCAGCACAGCCATGCCCCCGAATGTGGGGCGAATCCTCCTCTCTGGAACCTCTACAGGAGCTCCTTCCTTCTGCTTTCTGACCCTCAAGGAGATGGTGACACCACGTTCCTGTTGCATTTCTCGTGGTGCCCGGACGACACAGGTGGGCAAAGACCAAAGAAAAATAAAATACACAAAGAAAACAAAGAAGTTGCAGCACCTTATAGACTAATGGTTATATTTTAATGTCAGCTTTGGAGGCCAAGGACGCCTCCACTGATTTCAAGCTTCAGGCGTGGCCAAGGATCATGTGGCCATACTTACAGGGCCATTAAATCAAGGGAGCTCCTCCATCAGGGCTAGCCCTAACCAGAGTGGACCCACTCACTCAATTAAACCTATGTTAAGCGCTGACTTATCCCAGCGCCAGTGATTCAATGTTCTACTCAGGTTGGGACAAATACTGGATTTAGACCATTCATTTCAACGGACCTGCTACACATGTGGCACACTTTGAATCCGATTCTATGAAGTCTGCGCACTTGCATACAAGGTGCGGGTCGCCCCTGCCTTGGGCCTCGCCCCTGCCCAGCAAGAAAAAGACGTTTTGTGGACAAATCACTTTGCCGAGGAATAAAACTACCAGGCCACAAACATCTGCAGGAGGAGAGGCAACGTCCTCTGAAACAAGGCCACCAACCGCCCTCCTGCCGCACCGCCGTCAGGGCAGGAGCCCCGGCGAACTCCGGCGCCCGCCACGGTCCGCTAAAGAACGGTACTCTGTTCATGCCTCGAGGCTTGTCCGCCAGCCAACCCGACGAGCAAACACTGTAAGCAAGAGGGTGGGGGAACAGAGGCAGGAACTCCCACCTTGGCTGAACATTTGGGAAACTGAGGAACAAACGGCCTTTGGCGAAAGGGGGAAAAAGCCACGCATCTATTTGCCGGGGCTTTGGAAGGACGTCGCCACCTCCCGCTCAGGGCCCTCCGGAAGCTCCCTGGGCCGTCCCTAGCTCCCGGTGGCGGAAGGAAAGGCACTCTGCACGTGCGCAGGAGCGCCCTGCACGCCGAATAGGCAGGCTGGCCCAAGCGCAGCGACGACACGAGGATTCGCCCAGCGGCGGCGCGGGGGTGGGCGAGGAGGCC